ACCTCATTGCTGCTGTCTGTGGGAAGTCTGACTTCCTGCGGGGCGTGGCTGTGGATGATCCCTTCCACAAACTCCAGGTGGGACCCCATGAGTGTGATCTTCCTCTTCCCACTGCAAAAGGAAGCAGCAGCCAAACAGAGAAGACTACATTTATTACAGATTTTATTCCAGTGATGGAATTTTTTCAAGATGGCGTCCACTTGTGGATTTTGGATGAGAGTACTCCACATATCAGAGTGACGTGACTCATCATGAATATCCACAACAAATGCTATGAAGACTGTTGAGATGATGGACTGAAAAACCAACAAATATCGCCCTGCTTAGAGCTTGTAGCTAGCTTTGTAACCAACCTATGCTCATGTGATAACTGTTGTACCTCAAGCACACGGTTTTCATTCCAGTTTTTCTCAGTCGCTTTAGTACATTTCTCAGATCAGAATTGAAATTCTCAAAACGACTTGTTCAATCTTCACATCATTGTGTCACTTGTGCACATCACAGAAGCAGTTTGTCATTTCTTTGAATAAGTTCTAAATGCTTTGGTACATCCATGCAAATGATTGTGTACAGCTCTCTGCTGTTTCCTACATTATCGATTACTTTTGTCATGTTGGTCAAAATGTATTATAATGGGTCTCTGTTGAATAGTCTCACCCTCCACAACATCTAGACATTAGTTCATGGCATAAGTCTTGCTTGTCATGCAAAAAGTCAAGCATATTTTTATACATTTCCTTTAGACTTTTTTTCTACATCTGTCCTAAATTGGTAATTGCTCTCAGGTGAATCTTGAGTTTCTCTTATGAAGGGAAACGTGTGTGGCATCACATAGATTAACCAATGATAGACCAGTTTTCTGAAATAACTCAAAGGTGCATCTTATGATCCATCAACTGGCAAGTATAGAGGAAGACTGCACTGGAATTCCTACAGTACTATATGTACAGTTTTCCCTAAGGAGATTGTCCTATGTACACATTTCTACTTTATTTTTTATTTTTTGTCTTGGTGCTATGCAGTGCTGTCTTTTCCTTTCTGCATCGCAGTGACATGGTCTGTCAACAAATTACAGTACAAGCAGTAAAAACCTAAATGTGAATCTTGTCCAGTCTCTTGCAATCAATCTCCCACATACTCATAATTTACAATAACTGTCATCAAAACTTCAGCCATAGTTTCCATCAGAACATCCCTCCAGAGTACAGTCTTATCCATACACATTGACACAAGGACTTGTCATTCTGATGCCACAGACATGTTCACTGACACAGATCTTTAGTTTTGGAAATGAGCAAAGGATTTTGAGCAAGTAACTGCCTTTTGCAGGTCATCCGTGGTGTTTTGCTATTCGTACGAATTGCTTTCAGAAATGCACTTACTGTTTTGCAAATGTCGAGAAGGATTCGAGAAATGAACCGAAGTGACTGAGAAAAACTGTAAAACGCTAACCTGAACTGATTTGAAATGCAAAAACAAAAACATAAAATGACTCTTTCAGTTGCTGCAGCTAAAAAGGGAAGTGGTCCTATGTTGAAAGAAATCGCTTTTAGGGAAGTGGTTCTTTCCCCACTAGATAACCCTCAACCTGAAAGCATTCCTCAGCTGCTGACATCGTTTTCTAGACGAGGTTGCAGCAAATTCCACTAAAGTCAGTGACAAAGCACTGAGGTTGATCCAAAAATAGCCGTAAGTTTTAGCTGCCATTTTTCGTAGTTGTCAGTTTTGGGCGTGCTGCCATGGCCATTTGTAACATCAAAGTATCTATTCAATCATCTTGTTAGTTCATAATCAACTATTCTATGGTCGACGTATGGATGTGGTGATGGCAGGATGCTACATGTGTCACTTCAAATTTGTTGCAGCTTCAACTGAGCTTAGTTTTACCACTTTTAAGTTCTTCCACTCAGTATTTTGCTATTTAAGCACAAAACATATCTTATCAGAAATCCAAACATACCTGATCCAGGTACTGCGGGGTTTAATGTCGGTGCAGGACGGCGCTGAGCGGTAGGTGATTTTAGTGTTGCCATGGCAACTGCCATCTGGGAGCAGAACGCACACTTTGACCACACCTTTAATATCTGTACTGGGAATGTGGAACGTCAGACTCGTGCCGGTGTTGTTCCACACAGGAGATCTGACCAGAGCACACAGAGAAACATCATGTCAGCGATAATGTGCAGAAACCCTCAGAACCGTAAATCTTTCTC